TATATGTATGCAAAATATGGCAAGGTGTGACATACTTGAAGCTTTGCTTCCTTTGCAAAATCCTTTAGGTATATTGAGATCTCTCAATCCGCTACAAGGAAACGCTTTTTCCCTCTTCTTTAAAAATTGGGGAGAGGATAGTTGTGACTTAGTGAAATAAACTTTTTGGCACCAGGCACTCCCACCCCAGCACGGTGTGCCCTCTGTGCTGTTCAGGTTTGGCCCAATGAACACCTCTTTGATTTCTGGGCTGGATGGCCAGTTCCTGAAATCACCCCAAAATAGGAGGCATCTGAATGCTTTGATTAAGGTCCTTTTTTATTCCTTTCCTTTCCCCTTTTAAATGGATGCTTCGTTAAAGGGGCTGGGTGGGATCTGGTGAGAAGACACGGGGAGGAAGTCAAGGACGTTATGAAGGTGGAGTTTCTGGGGGTGAGTTTTTAAAGTCATTGGCACAGCGCAAAGAGCCTACAGAAGTTAACCGATCATGTGAGCAGCAGGAGTTGGGGAGGGACTGCAGAACGCTTTTGCCGATGATGCAATTGCCATTGCTCACATCCGGGACAGTGAGAATCTGATGAAATTGGGGCAGAAATGTTGGCAGGAAATGAAGTCACGGATTGGATGGTGAGAACTACCTGCCCGGAGCAGCCGTGCAGGGGAAGTGGGCTCTTGTTGTCTTTTTGTCTGCCGGAAAGTTTCTGCCAGCCAGTGGATTTCGTGCATCGGTTGATTACATCTGCTTCTTTCGGCTGTCTCACGATTTTTCCCTCCCAAAAAAGGGCTAGGGTTAGGATTATCTCAGCAGAGTTATGGTTTTTGTTGTTGTTTGTTTGTTTCTTGGGGGGGGTGCGTCCCTCCAGTCAGTCTTGACTCCTGATGGCTGCTGGTTCTGTGCCTAAGCCCCGGGCCTGAGTGTTGGATAGAGCTCATCTCCTGGTTATGTTAATGGTTGCCTTTTATAATTTTTCCTGGCTGCTGTGTGTTTTATTTTTTGTATGTGTTTTTACTTGTTTCAATATTGTAAGCCACCTAGAATTGTGTATTTGAGACGAGCAGCTATATAAATTGATTAAATAAATTAAGAGTCCCTGCAGCTTTCTTGGCAAGATTTTTTGAAATGTTTTCCCCTGGATGCCTTCTTCCGAAGGGATGAAAGAGAGTGACTGGCCCAAAGTCACCCAGCTGCCTCTGTGCTTAAGGCAGGACTAGAATTCACAGTCTGGTGCCTTTACCGCTACACCAAACTGGCTCTCTGCAAATTTATGTATCCAGGGTATAGTCACAACAAGGCTATCGCACCAATCAATTATTATCTGTGGTAGGCAAAAACATTTGGGGATAAGATTTTTCACTAGTGGGCAAAAAAAGGAACAAGAGTTGGGAAATGCACGTGAGAACAAAATGGAGGTTTATTAATATGTTTAAGAGTGTTTGAACTTTGCATCACTGAAGGTACAGAGTTTCGGAATCTCTCTTTTAAGAGAACATGAAAATGTGTATTTAACTGGCAGAGTTCCTTCTCTTTCTACACTCCTATCCCCAATTTCTTTCGCAGGTTTTTTTTTTCTTTTCCCAGATCCCAGGGGTCAAACGATTCTGTATTACTGTATTGGAAGTACCTGACTGATCTTTGTCTGCCTGAGATTGATGGAGAATAAGATTTGATTTCACTGTTGGTTGTAGATAGAACAGACCAATGCCAGAATAATAAACCTTGCAGAGGTCTAGCAGGCACCCTTCTTTGACAGTGAGTGGTGTCTGTTCACAGAATACTGTAACTTTAAAGAAAAAAAGTCCTTAGTAGTAGCAGATCTCTCAGGACACGTTAAGGCTACAGATAGAGAAGGAAGGGGTTACTCAACTACAGCTGCCCAGTCTTTAGACCCCTCACTGGAGAATGCTTCAGATATGAAGGTCCCAGTATGGAATTTAATCTCTGGTTCTGAAATTGTGCAGAGCCAAATTGTGGGTTTCTAATTACTTGAAGCATTTATTGCACACTTTAAGTATTAGAGGCCCAGGCTTGGAAGCTTTTGCCTTGAATCATGAAGACAGTAGGAAACTGTTGGCCCATAGAAGATGTCAAAGAGCCTGTAAAAGAATAGGAATGTCTAATGAAGACAGATACAGCAGATTCTAGCTTAATTAGTTCTGGTGTGCCATGTTGAAGCCTTGTGACCTTCACTGGATTGAAGGTCATTTCTGTAACAAAGGAGATGGCCTTATATCCAAGCAGTTTGGCCATCCAGCCTAGTTGGAGGAGGAACAGCTTCCTTTTGGTCAGTGGTTGAAACTGCCTCCCAGGTTGGGTGGCGGTGGGAACATTGCATGTCATGGAGGCCTTGCACGCCCAAACCCACCCTTAAAACCAGCCCAAATGAAAATTATGCCATAAACAAATCAGTTGTTTTGCTGCCAAGTTTTGGCTGGAGGATCTCAAGGTTTTTTGGAGGGCATGCTGTATGATTTGCCCTTTCCTCATCTGCCATGACTGTTCTGCGGAGCCTTGGGTAAACTGGATCTTTATCTCACCTACCCCTGGATCCTTTTTAATGGTAATGCAAAAGGCTGGATTTGCCACCCAGTCCTCGCAAAGTTTCAGAATCTTCCTGGAACCTTTTGTTTCCTTTTCACAACTTCTAGAGTAGAGGCCATGGGAACACATTCAGATGTTGTGAGTCTGTGAGCCCTGCTCACTGGTTTGGTCCCATCGTCTTGATCTTTGAAAACTCTGCTCCACCTGCTGGTCTTGTATTAGTCTGTGTGACTCCTCTGCCCCATTTACTCCCCCTGACTCCTGACCTTTTAGTCACATTGTTGGACTTTACACAGAGGTCCTTGGGTGCACGTCAAGGGCCTCAGTTATTTTGCAAACCATGACTTGGGAAACTCTCTGACCTTTGTTTATGGCAGCGTTTCTCAACTACAGCTGAGAAACTTTATGACGCTGGCTAGGGGATTCTGGGAGTTGAAGTCTACACATGTTAAAGTTGCTGAGGTTGTGAAACACTGGTCTATGGGAAAGTCCATTGGGGTCCTCAGAAAGGGCTTCCCCAAGGCCCTTGTGAGCTCACTGCCTGAGGAGGATGG